CTCAATAAAAGAAACATCAAAAAGTAGTTATCTTATCAATATTGGATGGAGTTGTTTAATACTCAAGTTACGTATTTCTTATTATGTTATTTTAGGGATAACTAACTTTAAAGTACTGTGCAATAACTCAAAACTTCAATACAATTTGTTGGTGTAATCAGATTTAAATAACATAACAGGGCTACTTGCTAGGTATTGTACGCACTTATATCTTTATTTTATAAATTTATGCATCGTTCTTTGTGTAATGAATTGACAATTTGTACATCTTAATTTTCCAGGCAGTAAAGTTCTTTTGTATGAATTCATTGATAGGTGTAATAGGTGTTTTGGGGAAAATACACATTGCTTATAGGGATTTAGCCTTTTCGCAAGACTGAATAGCAGTGCCAAACAGGTTTAAAGATCTTGTTTGTGTTTAGTCTGCATATATAATAGCTTTTTGGAATTCAGCAGGTATAGCTTCGTTTACTCCATTTTTCGTTTTTCCAGATCTTATCATTTTAATTCGCAGTTAATCTAGAGAGGAGATCTATGCAGCTCTCTACTGAATATTTCCAGAGAACCACCAGGGCGCCTGAATCTCTGAATATAAGATATTCAGTGTCCTTTTTAACTGCTCGCTGTTTAACATAACTGGTGTACATGTTGCAAGAAATTAATACTTTTAAAATATATCAAGTATCATGAAACCGGCTCCAAATCCCCTTATTGTAATATTAGTAAGACTAGGAAGTGTCTTTCAATTATGTGGTTTTCCTTTATTAGATCAACCTGTTCACCCCTGGTTTTGATCGTATATAGACATGTATACATATCATTGCTTTGGTTGGATTAGTCTAAACTCCTGTGTGGGGTTCGAAGGTTGATCGACGCAGAGATTTTCTCCTGAGAAGGCCCCTCTTGGCTAGAGAGAAGTTTTTATTGCCTCTGAATATACTTGACAAGTTTTACACCATATGATCAGTGTATATAGACCCATACTGTACCCAGCATGCATGAAGAGACCTTGCAGTTCCTGTATGGTACCAAGCGTGTGCCAGATCCATCTCAGGTAGCTATTCTCCGCAATTATTTAGTCATTAATTTAGTTTATACTTCTAATTAATGTCTTAACTTTTCTGACTTGGTCTTATAGAAATATCTATGCTTGTGTTGATATAGAATCGAGGGAAACTCGGGAACGAGATTGTAACATTACATCTATATATACAGCTAGTGTGTGCTAACTTATACAGTAGTTATATAGTCAAGTATCTATAGCTTTGAAATGTTGATATAAACAGCAGATATAGAATAAACTATTCTGTATCTAATATCTTGTGATATATTTATATTACTCCAGGTGACCAGTTGTAAATTATATAACCGTTGTATTGATATATTTGCACTATAGGGATGTACACTGTGCAGTGTGTGTATTTATTGTACGTTACGTAAGGCGATGATTGTGAATTATTTAACCTTTGCAAAAGCGTAGAGTAATATGTCAATATTTATATTGTAACGCAAACTAACACCAAGTTATGTCGAGAGGAAGTGTATAAAATTATCGTAAGCCTGATTTGGTTTTTATTCCACGTTTTTGGTTGGCGTTGTTGGGAGTGGATGGTGTCAGCCCAGATGTTGATTGCACTTACGGTATACCCAGTGTATGTGTGTGTATTTAAAGTTCAATGAAATCTACACCGAACCATAGAAGGGATACAGACCAGAGACTGTGGTCTGTGATAAGAGTATAATGTTGTAATTGAAAACCAGAAACGGCAAAGAAATGTTGTTATGAAATTCTTACTTGTTCATATGTGTCTATGGTGGTAGCTGAATCTGGAGGGTTATTTTTCAAATATCTTAAGCTTGGCATGGCCTTCCATCTTGAATTTTTAATAATTCAGTACATACTTAAAAGGACATTTTCGTTTTCTGGAAGGGTTATTTTTCAAATTTCTTACGCTTGGCATGGCCTTCCATCTTGAATTTTTAATAATTCAGTACATACTTAAAAGGACATTTTCATTTTGGAGGTCATTTTGAAGGTGACCTTGGATGTTGTCTTAGAGGTCATGGAATGTTAAAATAACTTTAGGCATTCAAATAGTAAAACGACACCATTGAGAGAGAATTTCCTTCGCAGCTAGACATACATTCAAATTTTCATCTGTCAAAGGTAATCTGGAGTCACCATCTTAATTTTTATTTTGCGCGTTTGCTGCATCAGTTTGCATGCTTTGGGGCCTGTTGACCTTTTTGTCTATGTCATTGTTTTGGACTAGGGCCCCAAAGGTGATTTGCAGCATTTCAGGGCGTGTGTGATTTGTTCATCCCTGGGGCTTGTGTGTGGTACATATACAGTAACAGGCCATTAGTGGCACAGCTACAAACTTAGTACTTGGCTACAATCATGTCACCTGCACCATTTGGGCTGTAGATTATGGCTTAGCCCATATTGCAGTGGTCAGTCACCTCAGACCTGAGCCTCTGTCTAGAACTGACCAACAGGAGGCCAATCATGTACACTTATTGACCACATATGTTAGTAGTATGACAAGTGTGTTTGACCTGAGGCCGTGCTAGTAGAGTGGACGGCTAACCTGTCTGTTTCTGTCATTTATTTTTCTATTACCAAGACAGTGGACAAGGAGGCCTGTGATTTATCTGACCAGACACTTTCAGGTTCGGTTGCTTGTAAACATTAAGAACAGTCCAGTCCATAACTCTCTTGATCACAATGGGGCTGGACTTTGCCAGTCTGGCTAAGTCTCCTTCATCACCTGCCATTCTATGTAATGTCTGTCTCTTCGACCCAACCCGACCCAACCCGACCCAACCCATTAAAAGAGGCCATAACAACAGAAACTTAATAATCAATCTTCATAAGCGCATGCCATTTGTAAGTATGTAAGAAGTTAAACCAGTGTCAGATCTAGAGTCTAATGAACAGGGGTAGAGGGGGCGATCCAAAGTCTGATGGACGGGGGTAGAGGGGGTGATCTAGAGTCTGATGGGGGGTGGGTAGAGACGGTGATGCAGAGACTAATGAAAGGGGGTAGAGGGGGGCAATCCAGAGTCTGATGGATGGGGGTAGAGGGAGTGATCCAGAGTTTAATGAATGGGGGTAGAGGGGTCAATCCAGAGTCTGATGGATGGAGGTAGAGGGGTCAATCCAGAGTCTGATGGATGGAGGTAGAGGGATCAATCCAGAGTCTGATGGATGGGGGTAGAGGGGTCAATCCAGAGTTTGATGAATGGGGGTAGAGGGGGCGATCCAAAGTCTGATGGACGGGGGTAGAGGGGGTGATCCAGAGTTTAATGAATGGGGGGAGAGGGGTCAATCCAGAGTTTGATGGATGGGGGTAGAGGGAGTGATCCAGAGTTTAATGAATGGGGGGAGAGGGGTCAATCCAGAGTCGGATGATTGGGGTAGAGGGGGTGATCCAGAGTTTAATGAATGGGGGTAGAGGGGTCAATCCATCAGACTCTGGATGGTGGTAGAGGGGCCAACCCAGGGTCTGATGATTGGGGTAGACGGGTCAATCCAGAGTCTAATGGATGGGGGTAGAGGGAGTGATCCAGAGTTAAATGAATGGGGGTAGAGGGGTCAATCCATCAGACTCTGGATTGACCCGTCTACCCCAATCATCAGACCCTGGGTTGGCCCCTCTACCACCATCCATCAGACTCTGGATTGGCCCCTCTACCACCATCCAGAGTCTGATGGATGGGGGTAGAGGGGGCGATCAGAGTCTGATGGATGGAGGTAGATGGGCGATCCAGTCTGATTGATTGGGGTAGAGGGGGCAATCCAGAGTCTGATGGATTGGGGTGGAGGGGGCAATCTAGAGTCTGATGGATTAGGGTAGAGAGGGTAATTTAGAGTCTGATGGATGGGAGTAGAGGGGGCAATTCAGAGTCTGATTGATGGGGGTAGAGGGGGTAATCTAGAGTCTGATGGATGGGAGTAGAGGGGGCGATTCAGAGTCTGATTGATGGGGGTAGAGGAGATGGAATCTTTAAGCTTAGAAACACCCTAGATCACCCATTGTCCATTGTCATAATTAATCACCAGACATAGATAGATGTGGAACATGGGGAGATATTAATAAATATTGGATATGATAATGATTGAAATAAAATATTAATTTTTATTTATATGAGTGTTTGAAAATTGAAGATAAATTGCTTTTTGTTGTCGTTAAAGGTGAAGGCCAGTTTCGACAATCTTCATGGCTTTTGCCAAGAACAAGAGAAATGAAACTAATACTTGTGAAATACAATCTTCTTTATAATCAGATAATTATTGCTATCAAAATTCAATAGTCTTGTGTTTGTGTGATATAAGAGGGAACACCATGGCTTGATGAAGTTGAAAAGGACCGAAATGGCCTGAGTTCTAGGGATCTGAATTTACTACATCCCCTCCTGTTGGCCTATAACTTCAAGGGACCTGTCGTAACTACATCTCCCTCTCCCAGGGACCTGTTGCTACATATTCCCCCTTTCCCCTTGTCTTGGCTAGACTCCCAAGAACCTGTAGCCTCTCCCCCCTCCTTTTGGCCTGACTCCCAGGGACCTAGCCTAACTCCTAAGGACATGTAGTAACTACCTCCCCCTCCCATTAATTTAACTCCCAGGGACCTGTAGCCTCATATTCCCCCTTTCCCCTTGCCTTGGCTAGACTCCCAAGAACATGTAGCCTCTCCCCCCTCCTTTTGGCCTGACTCCCAGGGACCTGTTGTAACTACCTCTCCCTCCCTTTAGCCTAACTTCCAGGGACCTTTCAGGGACCTGTAGCCTCATATTCCCCCTTTCCCCTAGCCTAAGCTAGACTCCAAAGACCCTGTAACCTCTCCCCCTCCTTTTGGCCTGACTCCCAGGGACCTGTAAAGGTCCCTCCCCCTCCCAACTCAGCGTCATTGGTAACTGAAGCCTTGAGCGACCAATCCAATCCCATCAATTGAGGCCAGCGCTGACTGCTTTGGAGCTAGGACATGCATCACGCTCATTTGTTTGTCCAACTGTACGCTGGGCCCGCTGTAACAAGGTTCCTCGTTGGGACAGTACTGCCCACAATCTGTAACTACGCTGTATTCCAGGCTGGGACAGTGGCTAGGTGTTGTGTGTAGTACTCTGCTCCTATACAGAGGGATTTTACTTCTGGTACTGTGATACTGTCTGTGTAAGCATACAGGTAACACTGGAGAAGGTATACACACAAAATTCCTCACTCCACTCAGCCGTGACCAATGGTAGGCTATATACCGTGATAAGACCTATCACCTTTAGTATTCCACCCATTGGTTCAACCTGTATCTGGACACCATGCTTTTGGATTCGTATCAACTTGTTCCATTAACATCAGTCCCATCCGTGGTGAGTTAGCATTTTATTGTCTTCCTCTGCCTTACTTGATCTAATTTGTTGACAGTGCCATTCACTCTTTTTAGGGAAAAGTTGAGCTAGTTTTATACTTACCTGTGTACAGGTATTGTATATAGTACAGGTGTGTCGTGTAGATACTAGCGGCCTGATTGTGTTCCCTCACTCGGTCGCTGTAATCACCGTCAACAGGACGACTCGACTCTCTCTCACACCTGCCTAAACTCTCGCCACTAACCCTGGTTCCGAGGATTTCACTGGCTTTATTTGATGATTTTCTCATCTTCTTCACAACAAATTACAAGTGTGTGATTTTTTTTACGGTGAAAAGTGTCGAGGAGTATAACTAGGGCAAGAGATTGTGATCGGTTAGGAGACGCAAGTACTTGATGGGTTCCCCTGAATATTACACGATTGCCTGGTTGGATAGACAGGTAGGATGTCCTTTTTCATTCATTGTTTTAATTTGATGTTTTCACTTTCTTGTGCTAGTTTCCTCCTGAGGTTCGCTTTGGTTTGGGATGTTTACCTGGTCAAACTCGTTAACTGTTTGTACACCTGTCTCGTTATATTTCTGCCTAAGCTGCAGGTGTAAAAATGCATGTAGTGGAAAGCAATCAATAATGATCTTATCTCCTCGTAAACTTATCTACATTACGGATCGTTTGATAAAGAGCTCGTGATAAACAAATTAAAACAAACCCTTGTCTCTAAAACAAAAAAAAATGAAATGTCAAAACAGGGTTAGGAATTTTACCTTGATAAGAATGCAAGTAGTGTGTTTAGCTGTTAAACCATAAATATGTCAGCATGTGTTTCAAAATTGTTTAAGAGATGCAATACATTAGCTTTGTGGTAAAACTGTATATATATATATACACCGCCCCCGGAGCAACCACTGAGAATTGAGCTGGGAGAGGTTTTTAAATAGAGTGTGGAATATATAAACCATGCCACAGGCAAATTAGATCAATATTTAACGTTTACCAAAAATCTAGGTTGATTATGCAATGTGTCCTACCTAACCTAGGGAAATATCACAACTCAAAGTTAATCTGGCTAAATACAATGTTATGATTTGGTCTTTAGATCTCTCCATGAATATCAACATTCATAATGGGATTATGTTTCTTATCAGAGATTTTCTTTTTTTTCTCTCTAAAAATTACAAAGGGAACAAGTTTGACATGTCGGTGGTATGAGTATTATGTAAAACAGATGTTGTGTCGGTGGGGAGTCCACCCCCTGGTTTTACCTGTAGTAGATAACAGGGGGATTCAAGGATAAGCCAACTCGTTCATGTAGGTGTGGCCTATATCAAATTAGACTTTAAAAAATTGTAAATGTCACAAGTAATTTATCTTTTTTCTTTATGAAAAAATTGGAAATGTCACAGAAGAATTGAAAATATTTTAACTTTTAAGGTATTTTTGTTTCCTTCAATGAGTTTTTTCCATCAATTTTATAAACCGTATACAAATCTCCTAGACTTTTTAATTACCAAGACGTCAAATTAAGCGAAAATCTTGTCAGATGCTACAAATCTTAAAATTTAAATATCAGTTTTAAGGCTGTCACATGAATAAAGGTGAAGGTCGCAAGTTATTGGCCGCTGACACGCATCCGCAGTCGGGGAGTTGTATAGGTATCGTTTTCTCTCTCAGGTGAGGAATGTCTCTCTGGAATTTTCTGGATGCGGTGTAGGCAGCATTACATTAGAGTTCAGTCGTGCGTGACGATTACACACAACATCAAGTTTTCTTCTCTTGTTCCTCATAGCCCTGTTAGCTTTCCCAGTGTCAAATTTTTAAAAGTATTTTAGAATAAGATCAAAATCTTAACTTTTAAGAAAATGTATCTTTGAATATTTTTTGGTATTGGTACACATGTATGGACAACATGATGCTAATTTTACATTAAAATTATTGGTAAAAAAGTAATCCTTGATTTAGTTACCTTGTGTTAAACCAAGCTGGCCTTTTAAAAATTCTTAGGTAGGCTGGAAGTATGATAGGGTACACTTACCTACCCTCAATGGAGAGGAAACCGCCTCGTAACAATTATTTTTTCTGGTTAGCGATAAGCCATTAAAATGTCAGGTAGATTTCAGCTCCACCTTGGAGTCTGATGACAAGATATTTGGGAGGGGAGATGCAATCTGAAGGTGATTAAATCTTAAATTTGAATTTTATCTTATTTATGCTTCAATATGAAAACCTGTCTTTAATTTGCTGACACCTGACTTTTGAGGACAACACAATTTAATGGACCCAAAAAGCTTGTTTCCTGTCATTCTACCCTGTTATTGCAAAAAATTATCATATCTGACCAAATGGTTCAGTTGCTAATGATATATATATCCACTGGAGAAATTTTGACATTTTAAAAATGAAAATTTGGGTAGGATCAAAAGTGTCAAATGCTTCCATCATTGTCTTTCAATAAGGACATAATTTGTTTGCTAAGTTATTAAATCTAGTGATAAAATGATAGGAGCCAGGTGTGTTTTGTTTCTGTTTGCTTATTTTTTTAAAATATTTTTTGAAGTTGGGAGGGGGCTGATGAGAGGGGGGCTAAACACTTTCTTTAGGATAGTCTCTAACTCACTAAAGCTTAGCATGCATAGCCACAACTTAGAGCAATGTTATATATCTCTACCTGTATTTATATACATATATATATATTTTTAATTTATATATTTTTTTTATTAAAAAAACATTAGAAGAATGTGTCACATCCATTAATATAGCCTCAATATTGTCTTTGTTATTAATGAACAACTAGCTAATGTACTATTGATGAAATCCCATGTGACCCGTTTGTTACAACAGCACAATGGATATTGAATTGTCTGCCCAGAATCGGTACGGAACTGTATCCTCCCTGGGGACCAGTGGTTGTATAACAAAAACACAGTGATTCCTGTTATTGATTTTACATAAATTTGTATATATATTTATACACCTTATACCATTATAACTGAGCTTTAATATTTTATACTTCATATATTTGTTAACTTGTTGTTTAAACATGAATTATTCTAATTTCCAAACACGAGAATAACTTTGAATATTTATATTTAATATATTAATTTTAAAATATTTGTTGTTTGGTTTATTGTTGTTTGCACATTCACGATTACGATTTAGTTCCACGAATACATATTATTTATCAACAGGAGATGACGAATGATGTAATCTCGTGTACCTACGACACATACATAAATACATACGGCCTATCTCTGGTAGAAATGTGTGTGCATATAACTATATATAAACGTTTAAAATGATTCATATTTGATAACCTAGTTTGGTCCACTGCCATAACCCCCATTCATGATCTCAATCTTTGTGAAGCGTAGGGGCACAAAATCTGTGAAGTTTGAATTGCCAGCACGTAGAAAAAAACATCTTACAGATTTTTAGCACCTACTGGTATAATAAGACAAAACAGGTGTAGCACAGTAGGGGGAGGGGGGAGGGGGGGCAGGGACTAAACCTTCGGGGAGGAGGGGAATTTGCTTGTAAACTCAGGAAGGATCAAAGCTGCATCATCACAATCTTAGTCAAACAGACTCTTGGCAAAATTAATGGAAACGTTTGCTAGTGGTTTGAAGGTTTATCTGATATACCACATCAAGTTTAATTTTATACCTGATCGTAAACTTTCACACACAGTACATTAAATTACACTTTACGAAAATAGCATCGAATTGTTGGCCTGTTACATTTATAATTGGCGTAGTATCAATGGCTGTACACGGATGAAATGTAGCTGGATGTAAAAGTTTAAACCCGACCATCCCATCAGAAAACCGGTACAAAGTTTAAGTGGGAAGACTATCTTTACACACAGCTAATTGGGCATTCAGGTCTCGAGTAATCTAATGGAGAAATGTTTACTATAAGTGTCGCAACTTATGTCAAGTTGTGATAGTCGGTCATGATAACATAGCTACGCCAACAGAAAGGAAGTGAGCTTTGCTGAGCCGATTGCTGTGTACATATTTCAGCTATCATCGGAGTGAGCAGATAATTTCCTTGAATTATATCGAGTAGGTATACTTTATAAATCTCCGTGTAGCTGACTGGTTGTGAAATAGACAGGTGATTTAATGACTCGGCAGTGATAAAATCACATTTCTCCGGGATTACTGATGCTGAAAACATCTACTCTGGAATTCTCCGTCGTCGTGTAGAATTACGGTTTAGGTCAATACAGTACAGGTTTGATTTTCATTTGAATCCTGTGAATTTGGAGATTTCTGTAAGTCGTGTATCCAGAACTTTGGACGTAATGTTTAGATTTGATCGACTGCCACCATTGACAGAGGTAAGAATTTGCTGAAGTTTTACAACTTATGGCAATTACATTCATTATCAGATTTTGTAGCTGAAATGGATATTTTCAAAAAATTTATGTCACGATACATCAACGTTGGAACATGAACATTTGACTGTCTGTTGATGTATAATCGAAATGTTAATGACCCAGCCCCCACCCACCCACCCACCAGACACGTCATATTCAGCGTACCTGAATAAAAGTGCTGTTATAATTATTGGTAAAAAGAAAGTGAAAGTAACTTTTTATTTCATATTTTAAAGGAAATACCTGGGTACCAACAGATCATAGAAAACATTGCCCTTAATAAGAATAGACGTCAAGTATGTCTCACAGCCTGGTGTCCTAACCCTGAAGTACACTACAGGAGAGAGTATGTTATGGGGTGACATTCTACTCAACAACAATAAACCACAGATGATTTGCCATCACTGGAAATTTTTCTCCTCAGGCCTAAACATCTGTGTACATATGGTTGTCAATTAATTATCGTGACAGACATTGATTTTACAAAACTTAATTGCCCCAATAAATTATCTCCCCCTGATCCAGTGGGAAGCTCAGTTATCTAAATAAAGCCAAAAGGCATAATTATAGATTTTTCTTCTGAATTTTTCTGGTCAATATTCGTCTCCCACCGAATGCTTTTC